AAAGAAGAAGATAGAAACGAATTAGTCGGACACCTCTGCCTGCATGTTCTTAGTCGACTCAGCTCCACCTAATGCCGCTTCAGATGAGAGTAGAAAAGCAGTCACAGGATCATCACCAGCCCTTAACCTCTGTTTTCAAAAACAGACATACTGTAAGTACAAAAATACGAGCCCACAAAAACAAAGCAGAAGTAACTGATAATTATCTGACCTCCTGAAGAACCGTAGATGCTGGAATAAGGGCATCTAACATTGTCCGGTAACCAGCACTAGCCCCACCATATTTACTGACTGCAGCAATGGAAGCTTCAAGCGCTTCAGCCCAATTCTTTGAGGTGACAACTGATTGGGTGCTTGCTTTCAATTGAGCGTAGGCAGCCTTACAAAATATAACATACCTGTTTCAAGAATAGAGATGTAAAAATTCACGTCAGGGTAAATGCAGGGAAACTTCAAAAACTCTGTCTAACTTTATTGAAGAAAAGGGGAAGTTGAATACAGGATCCCACTTGTGCCCCCCATATCTCTTCTGATAGATGATCCAATTTCGTTTACTGTTTCGGTTGCATCATTCAGAGGATAACTGCAATACAATAATAAATATAAAACCTTTTATTATTACTGATAAATTGTCGAAATGCTTGTGAAAAACCTTTTTAAGTTGTCTTCTATTGAAAGAAGATGATAACCACTTAAAAAGATTTTTCATGAGCATATCAATAATCAAATAAGAAACAAAACTGAAAATCAAACGTACTTTTTCATGTCTTCCAAAACTGCTGTTGCACCTCTATACATCTGCAATTGAACACATAAGATGTAACACGTTATATGATTTGAGCAGGAAATGACAAGAGAATTAGGAGCCAGATTTAGCACGCATCGTATCATCAAGAAGTAAATAGAGATCAAGGCTAGGACTTACTGTTGACCCACAGTCACCATCACCTACTTTGCCATCCCAATCATTCAAATTGTCCTTAAGTTTTTTAATTGCATTTGCAGCTGCTTCAATGGCCACCTCAAGAATCTGGCCTTGTTCATTAAGTTGTGCTGGCCGACCTAATGGCTATTGAAAGCATACAAAGTCAAACAATATGATTGTACATGCCTAACTGTACAAACAAAGGTTTGAACATACCTCATCAGACTTTGTTGAACGAGATGGAGGTAATGGAACAGGAATCTTTGCAGGTGGATGATTGCCTGCAAGGGACAACCACTGAGTTCAACATGTCAAATTTTGACGAAACTTTTAGTTTTTGATAAGTGTATATGTTATTAAAGAAGTGTAGTATGTATTAACTGTACTTTAAAACAGCAGAAATATGACTTGTTCATGAAACCAATGTCACGAGACTTTCATGAAAGCAATTTCTATTCACAAAGAAATACAAACACAAGAAGATGCGTTCAAACACCATAATCAAATACCATCAACACCAACAGGCCAATATGGCGCCTTTGTTACAGCATCCAGACGTTGCAAAATAGTTTGATCAGCCTTCATGATAGAAATCGAAAAACCTGAAGAAACATAATATTAAGAATGTTTAAATTATTAATATAACTAATTAACTCTTGTCATGTGGCAGAGCCTAGAGGACAAACCTGCCATATCAAGAGAAGTCATAAACGACCCAGTATACACTCTATCCACTGCCAATCCATGTTCCAGCTGCAACTTAGGTACTGCTTTACCAGATGCAATCATCAGTTCCATTCCCGGAGTCGCACCTAACCTGCCATAAGGGAAAAAAGCACAAGATTACAAATATTTTCTCTTGCACATAATAAAAATCCCCATAATTGGAATATTCATCGAACATGTAAAGTAAAATCTCCCACGTACCCGTTTACCATAAGCACCACTCTACTACCCCGAGTAATTGGAACATAATTAGTTTCCTGCAAAGATTAGTAATTAAATCTTTTACAAATTTGGAGCTTGATTCAATAGGTTGTAGGGAAAAAACACAAAATGTAACGTAGTTAAAACGCTAAGTTCATAATAAGAAAGTATCGAGCTATACTGGAGACAATATCTGCTTAAGAACGTGAGAAACTATAACATCCACCGGTTGAAGATCAGCTACAGCAGCACCAGGTTCTCCATGCTGTAAAAGCAATCAAGTTTTAGTCAGTTTGTCAGAGTATTTAAAAAGTAAATATAAGTACCAGGCCATATGTGCAAAAAGCTGGAAATTACAACAAAAAACAATCAAATGAGGATATGGTTGGAATAATTTAATCAGATAAAATGAGTTCCAATTTATGGTATGCAAACCAGAGATAGAGTTGGTGTTTTAACATGATTAGAAAACTAGAGCTTGACCTTTTAATTTATAATCAAGGTTGCTTATAGAAAGTAACTTACAATTCCAAGACCAACTTCCATCTTTCCTGGACCCAAACGGTCTGGTGTAACCTGACCAGGCAATGTGCAAATAGATAGTGCAACGCCCATTGTTCCAACCATTTCAGATGCTCGTCTTGCTTCTGCAGCAACATCAGCAAGTGAAAGGCCAGCAGCAGCAGCAGCTCCAGCAATCTATTTCACAGAGATCACAGACTTCAATTAACCATTTAGCCAAAATAATGGAAAATACTGATACTATTAACAGTTGATATTATGGACCATGTTTTAATTAGGATGTGAAGACATGGGTGAAAAGGCTTCCAACCCTTCATACACAAAACACTCCATTTCTAACATCCTTCACAATAAGCCCACATGCATACATGAAATGACAAATATCTAACACAAAGACAATGTTTAACTGGCTGCATACAATAGTTAATGAAAGTACTTATAAATGGAAAGTGTTGAGACAAAAAAGAAGAGAGAGGGAGAGAACCTTATGAACAAGAATGGTCCCGGCCAAACCCCTTCGACCAGCTATTCCTCGAGGCGGGGGTAATGCACAATCATCTCCAACAATTACAGTCTGCACCATTAAACGGCAGTCTCATTGTTTTCATTTAATCTAACCATGCTTCAGAGGGTTTGAACTGAAAATATATAAGGAAATATGCAAATTAATGTATACCTCTACTTTATAACCTTCTGATTTTGCTTGCTCTGCAGCTAAACCAAAATTTAAACGGTCCCCAGTATAATTCTGTCAACAACCAGATAGCAATATCCATATATCAGGGATAATATATGTGAATATATAAAGAAAAGAAAGAAAAAAAAAGCCACATTCCCGAAATCACTGCTTTCCACCATATATGTTTATGAAGCTGGGAAGCAATTCCAGAATTTAATATGTATTAAGGTGCAATTTTCCATTTTCTATTTTTGTTATATTTTGTTTGTACTTGTTATCAGTAATGGTCTTTCAGAATGCTCCAAAACTTTTGCCATAGCTGTCATTTAGCATCCCGACTATACACAGAACAACCCAACAAACTAACTTCAAAGCAGAAATTATACCGTAACAATCAGAAGACAACCCGAAGGACCAGTCACAGCTCGGATGCCCTAAAGTACAATTATATCAGATCAGAGTCGCCTCATGTAACAAAGTACATAAATCAATAGGGTGTGTTCCCTTCCAATTAAAAGCAATAAATTGCAGGACCATACTGCTAGAATTGAATCAACTTGTGGTGAGGCAAAAACATCCCCGCAAATAGCTGCAGTTAGCATCCCTTCTCCAACAAATCCAGATTGTGCAGGCTCATGCCCACTTCCACCTCCTGTATCATCAATTTATTTGAATCAGAAAGCCCCATATGTTACATAGTTTACAATTCCATTAACTCCAAAATCTTTAATTGGCATCCGCTCGGTACTTGGTAGATGGATTCTAGTGATAGCTACAATCTACTTCACCTTCATCAAAGCACCTATCGATTATACTAATTGATAAGTAATACACTTCCAATTATCTACTTCAGCAATGCACTAATTTTATTTGGTTTTCCATAGGCAGGTTTGACACACAATGTAGTTGAAGCACCTATTGATTGGACTAGTTGATAAGTAAACTATTTATCGACTGCTCTACATTATCTCATTCTCTTAGCAATTGAATGGACGAAGCCCCGCCTATAAAGTCCACGATGCACACTGTCCGACACTAATCTAAAAAGTTTCTATCTTGAAGTGAAAACAGTGTCTTCTAAATTCTAATACCGTAAACAAATTGCAATGCAGGCTTCCATAGCAACAATAAAAACGTAAAATGCAGGCTAGCGAACCTGATATAATCGCAACTTTGTCATACGTCCCACCAGAGACATCAGCACGCAACACAACCTTCACCTGCAATCCCCATATACGAAATTTCGGAACTCAAATTAATTAAATTTACACATAAAGCTACGGCAGCGACAAATTAACACAACGAACAGAACAGAAGGAAAAAAAAATAAAGACCTGAGGAAAACCATCCAAGTACTGCAGCCCAGGATACGTTTCGACAAGCCCCTCGATGAACTCAGTCACCACATCTGCAACCAATACCAAAAATTCACAACTCCCTCAGTGAAAGAAAAAAAAATTCAATTTTTCTTCACATTTCATCTGATTTAACTCGGAAAGTACTCAAAAATTTAAAAAATAATAATAATTAATCAAGCGGTAATCACAAGGAACAGCAGAGAATAATCGGAGAAGAAAATGCAAGAGCGAGGGGGTGAATTGGCGTACCGTTGGGGTCGTTGATGAGCTTCTTGCCTTGAAAAGCCATGGCGATGAATTGAGGGAGGAGGATTAAACCCTACCTATGTATCAGTGGTTTGCATGAGAGAGAGAGAGAGAGAGAGAGAGAGAGAAAGAGAGAGAGTAGGTGGTACTGGCGGAGTGGGGCTCTCTATATCTGTGTCTGGGAATATGGAAGAGAGAGAGAGAGAGACTTGATGGTTGCTTTGCTTGTCCGAGCAAGAAGTTTCCTTGCGTTTAGTTCCCATTTTGCCCTTCCTTTTACTCGAAAATTCCTATCTGCCACTCAGAGTTTTATCCACTTTAAGCAGTAATATCTGAATTTCGGATCCTCTTCTACTTTATTCCGCGACTTCAGTTGTGTTGGAAGAAAAAAGTTTTAAACTTGAAAATTAATATCCAGCAAAAATAAACTTTAAATTTAATAGAAAATAAAAAGTTGTCAGCTTGATTTGGCGGAGTCCCGAACGGAGAGAGTGAAGAGCGATGATTGGAGCGCCAATGGAGACCAAGGGGATCAATGCTAACGGAGAAAGCAAGGCCAAGCCGAGCCGCAAAGCGGTAGAATCGCACTCTTTCCCTACACTTTGAAGCAATCGCAGCCGTTAATTGTACATGTTTGTTTTGGATTTCCAGATAATCGAGAAGAAGAAGGCCATGGATGCACTGTTGAAAGCAGCTTCTTCCGAAAGGGACCATCTTTCCGCTTTCCCTGCCTTTCGCCGTTACCAAGCAAACGGTAGTTTTAATCTCACAGCTTATCTGTTATGCCACTTTTTTCACAGTTCGTTTTGAAGATTTTGTTAATTTGCGGCAGTACCTCCCATTTTTCTGGGAATTGAAACGGAACACTGTTTCGATTTCATGTTTTTTATGCTTTTGGCAACATTTCCTTTTCGGGTTTTTCGATTTTTGTATGAAAGTGATGAGCTTGTGGTCCTCTCAGTGTAGATGGTTAGGAAGTTTCTTGGTGATAATGCAGTCAGTCTTGCTTTGTTTCGAGTTTAAATCCCTCGCGATTTTATTTGGAAGACAAAATTTCGTGTAATGCTTAATGCCATATTGGATGGTTAGGCCTGTCTGCATTGTTGGAATCAGGACGAGGGGACAAGCTTTCGTCTACCCTAAAGCATTACATTCAAAATCTTCTTAAGGTATTTGAAGTCGTCTGTCTGTTCTTTTTTTCCGTAACTCCATCAAATTCTGCAAGGTCCAAGTGCTCTCATTTGATTTATTTACTCTTTGCGGGCAAAGGTAATTCAAGTTTTGGGAAATGACTAGGCAAATATGGAGGGGCTTTATGGATCTGAGTGGCTGGTGGAAGAGAAGGTGAAGCGCAGGGAGATGGTTGCACCTGAAGCACGATATATATTTGTACGCGAGGCTTCAAATGCAAGTGCTAGTGAAATGTTAACAATGTCAGAGCAGGAAAGGACCTCAGCTAGTTGTGAGGAGAGGGGGCCCATGGTTGGGTTTGTACATTTTCGATTTGTCATAGAGGAAGAATTGCCTGTTCTTTATGTGTATGAATTGCAGCTTGAGCCTCGTGTACAAGGGAAAGGTCTGGGGAAGTTCCTAATGCAACTAATTGAGCTAATTGCTCGCAAGGTGCTGATTATGTTCCATCGCCCATTTTAAGCATGTATTTAACAGACAGCTGAATAAAAATCTAGTTGGAAGGAGAATGTCTGAAGGCTTGACGAAATGATTCTTAAACAAACTTATCTGCATTCATTGTTTATTTTTCTTAGTGTCATCTTGGCAATTAATCTAGCATTTTCAATCTTTGTAGAACTACATGGGCGCTGTCGTTCTAACTGTCCAAAAGTCAAACTCGGTAGCCATGAATTTATATTTAAGTAAGATGAGGTAAACTTTTTGCTTGTATATAACTACTTGAAGGACTTAAAAACAATGAAACCTGTAAAAGAGTTTTTCATCCATGATGTGTCAGTTTCAGTTTTCTAGAGCGATGCTGCTGATAAAAGGAAGGGAATTAATTTTCACTTTCATGCTTACCAGCTTTTACATTTGGAAGAACTGTAGCGCCTATATACTTTTCTTTTCCATGTAGTATTAGTCATAACAGTTATTCAATAGCAGATTGATGAAGTGTATTACCAATAATTTGTGGCTCCTAGGAGGCATGTTTGTAAGATGCATATGTTGTTCATTTTGATGCAACTATATTAGTAACCGCTATATAAGGCCATGTTGATTGGCTGGTTTGCTGAAAAGCTGACAGACAAGTTTTATGTTGTTGAAAACATACAATTTTGCTTCATTTTGAAGTTTAGTTCGTGACGATATCATGGTGCTTTGTTCAACAAATTTATAATGATGCTTTTTTATTTCCATTACATCGAATGATCAGATTTCTTTTCCTTTCAACAGATACATCATATCAACTATATCACCATCACGAGTTGATCCATTGGTAAAGGATTATTGGCAACCTATCTACAGTGGCTGAATTACGTAGAAGACTAGGACCATTTTGTTCACTATGTCTTCTTAAGAAGTCTATTGTTTGTGCAGATAGGGATTGAGAAGAGTTATGAAATTCTTTGCAAAGCGTTCAGTAATGAGGCTAAAGCTATCTTGGAGGTACGTGTATGTTACAACCAGATCAGAATAAGCTCCATTTGTAATGGGATATAAGCATTTTCAAAGATATCCCGTTTTAAGCAAAAATACTCTGCATTGCATCTTATTTCTATTGGCTTTTGTGTCCATTTGCAGGATGGGTTTTTTGTACTTTGTTTCGTATATACATACGCACTATCATTCATCTATTTTTCTTTTTTTATCATTATGAATATCAGGAACCACTTGAGAAGGTTCATCTGGCTTAACATGATGTTACTCAGCGCTCCACCAAAGGGCAGAATCCAGCTATTGAGGTACCAGATAATACAATTCCAGCAGAATGCATTAACTATAATAAGTTAGTTGCTGCAATATGTTCAGTATTATTACTCTTCAACTCACAGAATCACTAGCATGCTTTTCCCACTGCTGTACAAAACCACCTGCAATCGCACAATGTAAAAAGAAACTATTGCGTTTGGTTCTTCTGATCGCAGCATAGTAATTGCAATTCGTACTCGACAATTGAAGGTATTTGCCATTAGCTAAGTTTGCTGCATGACGGTTGTGATAACATCTCATTTTATGTACAAACAAACTTATCTTGTCCCTACATGCTTCTTCATTTGCTAAGTTTACTTCTCTCTTGCATTTGCTGTTAGTGTTGTTGCACATTGATATGAAAACCTGCGGCATTCGTTTTGTTGAAACTCAAATGTTGGCTGAATACCATCGACATGTGCTACTCATTTGATACTATCATGCATAGGGGAGCATAAACCGCAATTAGCTACGTATTTTCCTTTAAATACACACCAAGTGACACTGTAATGGCAGCTTGAGAAATGAGAATTTTATTACTTTCCTTTTGTTTGGTTTGATTTTGTTTTAGATTTGAATCTTCTTGTGATCAAAGCAGAGTTTTTGCAGTTTATGCTCAATAATGGAAGCTTGACCTCCATTTACATGAATGTTTGTCATCAAAACATTCTTCGAAATCATTTGGCAAGCAAATAAATCTGTCCGACATAAAGCTGTGAAATCCTTTAGGAGCTCTCAGCTGTGAATTCCTTTAGGAGCTCTCAAGACCTCAGTTTCTGCCATAAAAATCGCTCGGATGGGTCTATGGTCTGATAATCTTGATTCGACTCTTTCATACTGCTTTTGCTTGAGTCCCTTACCGAACCATAGTATTCGATCACACCTACAAAACCATCACTTAGCACATTAATTAATCTGGTTTTGCAGTCGTTTCATTGATTAATGGGCAGTTTATGATGCTTAATTACCATGCCGGAGCACGCCTTTTGTATTTTCTCTTCTGATCACAGCCAAAGTAAAGCCCCGAATTTGGGTAATATTTGTAGCTTGGAGCAAAGTTTATTACTCCTTCATGCCAACCTTCGAATGCACGTCCTTCCATGAGCTCCACCTTAAGCTTTAAGAAAAAATCAAAACAATTATCTATATCATTCATAAAATCTTAAACCAACAAACACTCAAGAAAGACTTTCATGAAACAAGTACTCCGTTACCGTGGCGTCTTAATAAGCGTCCCGTGCTAATAACTCTGTCATGCAAAAGTCTCTCTACATAACATGGTATAATTTGTCTGAAACTTCAAGATGACGGTTGAAATGCGAGTTAAGTACCTGATCATGTTCCAACAAAAGGCTCCACTTTTGCTTCTCCACAAGATATTGCGTTGTGGCATCAGGCAAGCAGATTCTGTAGTTTAGGTCTCCAAGCCAAATTACCCTACTGCACGTATATATTACTTAGTATTCAATAGTTTTAGAAACAACAAAGTAAATTAAAAATTGCTATCAAACAGCCCCTTCTGCACATACGTACTCGTGATCAAGAATTTTTGTGGAGAAATTAGTGAAAGGTTCTGCAGGAAAGGTGGTTCGAGACAAAATCTCAGCGACGTCTGCATTTCTTCGTCTCTCATCGCCTTTCTTACCACCAGAAGCTAGATGGCTACACACAAAACAAAAGCTTGTTTCATGTAACCAAAACCTTACTGATACCGAACCCTACATATACGTATACGTGACAATATATTAATTCACAATATATATGTATAGAAATTGTAGAAGTAAAAATTTAATTTGAATAATTGATCTAAATTCATTCATAATAAATTACAGTGAATGGATGATAATTATTACTTAATATTCTGTACCTTGTTCCCTAGGCAACCCATGATACCACAGCCAACACATGAGACACTGAGATGTCTTATGTATTGGCAGAGATCACTTGAAACCCAAGCAGATATAAATATTCCAACCATTTGCTTACTAATGATGCATCGGAAATCTTCTTCATCTTCTCCTCCTTCTTCGTCTTCTGTAATCTTATTCTTCTTATCATTAAGAGCAGCTCCGATCAACGAATTCCATTTCTCACAAACTTTGCGGTTTTCGGATCGCACAACATTTCCCACATTCAGTGGTACAATTTCTTGGAACCTGAAATTCGTCAATTCATTAATTCAGAACTAGTGATCGTATTGTATGAGTCAATCTGCGGTGCGTGCATGGAGACATGCACGTATGATTATATAATTACCGTATAGATAGGGAAATAAATAAGATTAATTACCCAATGACGTAGATATTAGCTGGAGGGTTAATATTATTAGGTCGGAGCCAACCTTGTATGTCCAAATACTCTGGAGGTGAAACACCTCCAACATTCCAGGAACCCGCGAAGATCCTGATCAGATCCATGCAAAAGTAGAAAACTACGCCATCATCATGTTTTACTCCAAATTAATATTCAATATATGAACTAATAGCTAGTTAGGTGAGGTATTGATATATTCATTCTTAAACCTAAGTAGACCAGCTTACCGGTATGTATTTTGAGCAGTGGAAATTATGTTGGAGTTGGAGACCATATTTGCTTGGTTATTATTTGGTCTTTCCGTAGTAGCCTCCATCTCCATGGAGTCTCCTGGATTTATATCCTCCGTGAAATTGTTCATGCAATATCTCGGAATCTTTTCTGCCATTAATCTGGATTATAGTCTAGGGTAGTGTGAATGTCCCCCCACCAAGTTCAAATAACCCTCCCTCAGAGAGAGAGAGTAATAGTAGTCTAGACTTGACCTTCAAACATTAACTAACACACAAGTATCAACGTAAATAACAGTTAGCGAGCCAGACAAATCATTAATTTGATCAAAGAGTAGACGTGAGTTAGGCCTGTTGGCCATATAGAATAGCATGACCGCACCTTGTACCAAGTTCAGATCCTCCTCCCGGGAGAGTAGTTGTCTTGCTTGTTTGCCTTGCATGGAGTTAGCAAGGGTTATGTATCATACTAGCGTAGCTTAGGATGAAAGATATTATAGGACTGATATTTTGGGTAGTGGAAAGGGAATGCGACCCTCAACCTCTCCCGTGAATAAAAAGTGTAAAAGGATTCCATTTTCCCAATATTTGGAAGGAGATAAGCATAATTAACGCTGGGTGGCGAAGGAGATGATGCAAGTAAGAGACCATATTGTAATGGGATTAATTCATGATTAGTGGGAGGTGCGGGATTAATTAAAAATTGGACAATTTGCTCAAGAGAAATATCTCGCTCTCTGTCTCATATTTATTTAGTTGCACATGGTACCGTTTTCTAATTTGTTTTTTATCTGTGTTTTTATGTGTTTTTTGTGTGGATAGGAGGCCTAGCTAGCTTATAGAATATTATGAGAATTAACAGTCGATGCATGGTCTAGTTTAATTCATGGTGGTTAAGTTCGAAAAATGGATGGAATCGCAGTAATTTCTTGTGATGTGTACGAGTAATATATGGGTACGTGCATGGTAGTAATTAATAATATAAAGAAGCAGTGAAATCAATTAGTTGGTTTCGACAAAAAAAAAAATAAAAATCAATTAGTTGGTTCGCTATAAAGATGATAATATTGTCCATTAATTTGATATATAAATGACTAAATTATTTATATGTGGATTGATTTTTATGTATATATAATCTTTAAATAATGTTATTTAAAAAAAATAGATTTTAATTCTTAAATAAGATGAAGTTTAAATAAATGTATCATATAAAATTGAACATTGTCCCTAGACTCTACTAAATGTGACCGTATACTTTTAATGTCATTTTTTTTCTTTTATAATTTCTTGGTGTTCTTGAATTAAAGTTTTTTTATGAAAAATATTGTAGGATTTTAATACTTGTTTGAAATCGTCATTTAGTACTACGGTCTAGTGATATTTCTCTTTACTTGTAAGTGAGAAGTCTTAGATTCAATTCTGGCCAAAGGAGAATTTGAACCACATTATTATGACTAGCTAAGTGCGAGGCTTAGCACTCCCCCACTCCCCTTAATGTAGGTATTATTGTTTGTTCAAAAAAAAAAATACTCATTTAAAATCCAGATGAATTTTCATTTGTTTCGTTAATAAAAAGGAACAATTGGATGGACAGCAAAATAACTACTACGCAATCAGATTAGCTAGTTAATTAATTAGTTTTTTAGTTAATCAAATCAAATAACAAAAAATATAGTCATTGGTCAAGCTAGTTAGTATAGTATTGGGTTAAGTAGACAGCAATATACATTTATATATATATATAAAGTTGGGGCTTTTAGATCCAGGTCCAAAAACATAGATGATTTTTAGGAGTGAGTCCAATTACTTAATTATATGTATTTATTTTTTTAATGCTCATTTTATATTTTCTAAAAATATTAAAAATCAATTAAAATCTTCTAATATCATGAATTTTCAACCCCAAAAAATATAATTAATATCTTATAACAAAAAAAATAATATATTGACATAAATCTATCTGCAAATCATTCTACCCTAACTCAAGTAGCAAATATATGAATGTATATCATACCTATAAGTAAGATATGAAACTTAACTAAAAGGTAGAAAAAAACATAATATATCTACAAGCAAGACACATGAATCTTACTTGATTATAAAAAATAATCTATCATATAGGTAGATAAATATAATTAACCTGTGATATAGGTTGATTATAAAAATAAAAAATAAAATCTATAAATGGGGTTTAAAACGGGATAAAGAACAAGAAAGAACAAACAAAAAAATAATCAAAGAGATAATTAGGAAGAAATTTGATTTTTATAATAAATCTTATCATTTAAGAGATAATTATTGATAATAAAATAATAATATTTAAGGAATTGGACTTATTTTAATACATTAGACTATTCCTACTATTGACTCAAAAAATTAGACCTATATCAAATTTCTCCTATAAAGTTATACCCTTCCTCCTCCTAGTGCTAGTGCTAGTGCTAGTGCTAGCGCTAGCGTGCCCAATTGATTGCCTTTTGGAGCTGAATATATAGTCTACACGCGACCGTCCAACCCCACTACCATTTCTTCTTGCTTCTATATTGCGTGTATCACAAACGATTGGTTGGTTTTTATCATGGTGGCAAACTTAATATGTATTTAAATACTGGAAATGATTAATTATTCATAAACATATACAGATTAGTTGAATTGATTAATTATATATGCGTTTTATCTGTTCCTTTGCAATGGCTTTCAACCTCAATGTCAGTTGGCGTTTTGTCTGTTGTCCCAATTGAGAGAGGCAACAAAATCTTGATGGGATGAGGATTGAGGATGACAGGTTCATTGAAAAAGAATGAGAACAAATAAAGCCTATGAATTAACAATGGGTGTTGTCTGCATAATATATAACAATTTAACTGCAGATTTCAACATTATCTTTTTCTAATAAAGTTCATGGACAAATTGTACCCAACACTTTTTCATTATAATTTTCAAAGGAGCACTAGGGAGCATATAATTTGAAAAAGAAGTAAATATAATATACATGAAGCTTGTTAAGTGATTCATTTTAATGTTCATTGTTCATGCAGAGAGTTATTGACAACATATTGAGAATCATATATCGTAGGAATATATATTATATCTACACCTATATATGAATCTCATATCAAAACAAGTCAACATGAAATATTAGTATATAAATAATATATTGACGATATATATATCGTGTATTTCACTATGTGGAGTGGAACCATCTCTAAGAAGTCGCTATATTCGTATAGCGGACGAGCTTCATATATATAAAGCAAGCATCACGCTCAACTATCCATGTAGGGGTTTAGGAGAGACTGGATAGTGCCATTTATATTGACCATTTCATGACCACATATCGTGTATCCCATGAAACGGAATCCCGTCTAAAAAGCTAACTACATAAATATTCATATATATATATATATATATAGGAGAGGCTCCACATATAACATGTATTCATTTCACGTTTTACTATTCATTTAGCAAATCATAATAGTGTCATTCTATTAATCGTTTCGTGATCACATATTGTTTAATGTTAAATATAATTGACATTTCGAAATATTATTTATGTTGTCCCATGTTAAAAAAGTACTAAATGATTAATATGTAGTGACGAAACAATCCATACGAGGGCACTATCAATCCTATTCCATGTACAGTGGATGGGATATTATCATAGACAGATAGGTTAATATAATCCAAGAAGGTGGCCGTGAAAGTGTACAAATGAGCAGTTCATAACGGGAATAAAACGGAAATTAGAAAACAACAGTTTCCACTAGAAGTGTAGAACGTCAAGCCACTTTCGTAAAACGAATATCTCTACGGTCGCCTACTTGTATTGCTCAGTCAGCTCACTGCGGCATTTGCAACATCAGATTATGTTAATTAATGAAACATCAGAATAATCTTAATTCCTTCATTTCTTTCACTCGATTAATTATCATATAATTGTCCGTGTTTCCTCCATGTAAAAGCGTGGTTAATTATTCTTCTTTAACTCTAATTTATCGTACGCTAAAGCGAATTAACGTCCACAAAACTCCAAAAAAATTATAAAAATTTCTTTGATCGCAGGTACATAATCATTCTTCACCACCTTGACAAATAATTGACAATATTGTTGAGAGTATCGATCCCACATCGGGGAAATAAGAGAAGTTGTATGTGTTTATAAGTAATTGAGCTACTCTCTGTATTGCCAATTGGTTTCTTTTTATGGTATCAAAACCGGTTGCCCCTTATGTGAAACTCAACGGCTATACGTACTTCACGTCACTCAATTTGTATTTTCCTAGAAATGAGAGACCTTGCATGTGTTTATAAGTAATTAGCTACTTCTTACATTGCCCTTGGTTTTATGGTAAAACGTCAACTTTCTTCCTTGTTTGTAAACCTCTGTCGAATCGGAAGTTAAAAAAATACACGAGTTTTCCTTCACCTGTTAAAACTAGGTAAAGAAAACAACAGAAAATATATACTTACGATTACTGTGGGGAGTTTGCTATCAGGGGAGCCAGGAATTCTGTTTGAAATGTGGAAAACCCACCTGCCTAAATTCTTCAGCAGGCAAGTTTTCAAGCAACATATGGATTAGGAGATGAAGCATTTTACAATTGCAGATGATCTTTCCAATACCGAACAAGAAAACAATGTCACGATGCTTCGAGTTTCAATATAATACGCTGAGTTTTTATCCAGCCACATCAATTTTGGTTTTTCTATCTCCTGCTTCCACAAAAATGGTCATTCGTATCGATCGATCCATTTTCTTTTTGTCCCATGACTTATCAATCTTTATCTCCCACTGTTGCACTTCCTAGCTGCTTCATATTCTACGATTCAACCACTCAATGATGCCCTTCGTAATGGCTTCTCGCTCTGGCTCAAAGAGAAGGTCATGTAACAACCCGTCAAACAGTTTGATGGTTTTGTCAGTTGAGGAGCCTTCATCGTACAATTTCTGGGAGGCCTCAGGGTCAGTAACAGTATCAGCTGTGCCGTGGAGAACAAAGAAGGGGACCCTCAATTTGGTTAGGTTCTGCTGCAAGTAGGATGTGATTCGGAGAATCTCATAACCAGTCCTTACGCGGATGGATCCAGTGTACACTAGAGGGTCCGAATACTTGGCAACTAGAGCCGCTGGGTCACGAGAAACAGGCATGCCCTTTTTATTTGCTGCACTGATTTGGTACCTTGGCAGCAAAAATGAGAGCAATGGAGCAATTACCTGGAATGATAAACGGAGGAAAGCGTGTAGAGGGTTAGTGTTTAGGGTGCATTTGAAAACTTGTAATTGAGTATATAATATATTCAAGAGTGCATAAAAATTAGCTGTAACAAAAGCTGGTTTTCTGACCACAAATATTGGATGCGCAGGCTGAACCCCAACTGCTGGTGATGTGAGCACTACACCGTCTATGCAGGACTCAAATTTTGGGTCAAGCATTACCTAAAATCATTTTTGCGATATAGAGTAAGCTCAGATTAAATTCCAGGCCAATGAAGCTAATGAATAGATAGAAGACAACAAAACTGTGACTACGAAAAAGTCATTCATGCAATTACAAGAAAATAAAAAGACTTCCGACAACCCATACCTTAAGGACAATGGCTGCACCTGTGGAATGCCCAAAACAGAAACACGGTAGGCCAGGATTTTCAACTAAAACCTTTTCGAGAAATAATTTCTGCATAAAAATAAAAGAGCGAAGAACACATGTAAATGTTTAATCAAAGCAGAGTTCCTAGGTTTTTCAGGTGAATTAAGAAGTGGATTCAATTGTTAATTAGCCTTGAAACTTACCATATCAGTAACAGCATAATCGAGAGAAGGAACATATGCATGAAGCCCATCACTCCCACCATGACCTAGACAGATAAATCAACGAGAACAATTATATGAGATATATAAACAATTAACTACTAAATCAGAAGATTTAGAGATTTAGTGCAAGTAACAGGGATGGAGTAACCCAAGGTCCACAATTTAAGACTTATCCTTCGACACAAAGAAAACTCGAGATACTATTTTTTTTATTTGCTGTGTTAAACAAAAAAAAGCAGAGACTCTTCCTTCAAATCATAATAAGACTTGAACCCCCGACAACATATAGCCATTACACACCAGAAAACAATCCAAAAGCATCTTAAACAAGAAACAAAGTACAGAGAAAATAGAACTAATGACATTCAGTCCCAATTAGAAGCCTAGAAATTGCAAAGGTTTCCAAGTGAATTTTGAGTGAAACGCAAGAAAGTTTTAATCTTAATCCAATTCTGATAAATACAACTGGAAGGACACCCCACCATACACGGTGGCACACTTTAGACTGGATGCTTGTGTTGGGATGTAACTAAATTCAACTTTAGCTTAAACCATTCTAAATATTTTTCACTTGATAGACGCATCAGAGCTGTAACTTATGAGAAACATACAAGGTTAGATCCAAACATACAAGCTTACTTATAAAGGGAGCTTCAAAGGTTTCTTTTTCGCACCAATGGGCGTCCTAATTACTCAATTCCTGCAACATCCAAATATATATATATATATATGCGTTGTTGAAGAGAGTGATCTCTAGGCTATGCAAACCGTAATTAAATAAAAAAAGAAGACTGCCTCTAATAAAAGGGTGAGATTTTAAATTTTTGAGAGACATCTTCCCCCTTATCTAAAAAGTTAAGACTCTTCCCCTTCCACAGCAAATATAAGAGTAATCTTTCAGCCATTTTCTTAAGCGTTGCGTTATATAGATCAATCTCATGTTTCAATTCGTTGTACAGCATCCAAAATGCTTGCCTAGAAATTTGGTCATTATGACACAAGACGAGACAAGCTTGTGCCATAAACAATCTACACAAGTACAAAACAAAAAGAAATGTTGATAGGAAACTAGTGAGTGCACGAAAACATTAAAATTAGGTCAGTACACAACTACACATTGATAATGACATACACAGGAAATTGTCATTAATTGGCTTAGACTTCAGGTATCATTTTTTAGAACGAAAACAGAAACCATTTAGACTAGTTAGAAGTTTAAATGCAATGGTAAAGGGTCAAAATGGTGTTGACTTACCAATCCAATCCATTCCGTAAACCTTAAATCCGTTAGCATTCAGTTGCTTTGCAAAGTAGTCGTATCTTCCACTGGTGAAATTGTACAAATGTCTTAATAGATATATCAAGGCCTTTAACCTTATAATCAGCTTCAATAGCATTTAAGTGAGAATTATGTAGAAATGACAAACCTGTGTTCATTCAGACCATGCATAAGAATGACTACGCCCCTGCAAAGTGTAAATATTAGAAACTTACAACTTGGACTCCATGACTTTGCAAACAAAACTGTGGATAAAGTATATACGTGTTTGAATATAAAACCCAAATAATATAACAGTCTAATAACATAACTTGTCAGATATATGATAGGAGAAGGTTACTCTTCTTTAGCAATTATTCCAACTTACATATTCGCAGCAACGGAAATGTTCTCCTACCAATTAGTATGTCATGTTACAAGAATAGGGTTCAGGGTATGGACTATGTAAGTTAACAGAAACTTCTGATAAAACCCAGGCACTGCTTAGAGGATCTGTCGTCAAGAACAGCTTAATTGCCCTGATGTTTCATGGCATTATCATTCAACATTTTAATAGAATAGCCCACATACAAGAGTTTCTAAGTGGTGAACCTTAGCTGAAATGATTCATCAGAAATTTGTGCAAAGTCCACTGTGGAACCAACCACAAGAAAATTTGCCTGACTTTCCCACACACTATCAATTTTAAAACTGGTTACACCATCTGTAGCTACTCTTAATAGATTTCCGAAAAATAGGCAATGCCCTAAATGGTCTCAGCAATATGATACAACTTATTATGCCAGTAAGCAGAGGAGTGGAAAATGAACAAGATGTGCATTTTCCGTAAATCCAGGTGCACTGCACAATCATTGAAATTATCATGTGGGTCTAAGGACAAGAGATTAGAGATGGGACCTCAAGAAAGCGAAGGATCCTCATGAAAGCAATATTTGGCTAACAAACAACCACAAAAAGATTGCCAATTTTACTCGGGTATTGCAATCCTTGAGCACCGGTCCTTATCAGTATGGTATGCGTAAGTAATACGCAGTTTCTAATGGAAGGTTGATACTGATGGTACAAGCATATGTTCGAATATGCATGACTATTAGCATACTTAGTGAACACAAACTGACAAAGTAATGAAATTATTTAACATGAACCTAACTACTTCAAAACGACGACGATGTAATCAAGAAGATAAACACATATGTCCAAACTGTTCATTCATTAAACTAGATTAACAATGCCACTTTTCGAGCACCAAAATCCGACGATAAAAGATTACTCCTTGAAAAACGAGGTGTAGTCAACCTTAATTAAGATTAAAAAGAAAAAAGATTAAAACTTTCAATCCCAGATAGCATATTTCTTCTGCATTTAGATTGCCGCCGGAAATCTCATCATTTTCTTCAAGAAGTAATGAAAAATTCACACTTTTTTGCATTAATTCAAAATAAACAATCTAATCCAATCCAATGCAATCCAGTCCAATCCAAGGGGATAATATAATACAGAGGCATTTGATTTACCTGATGTTAACGGAAACGGGAGTCCAACTTTGCGTGAAGAGAGTTTCACCTCTCGCAGTCGCAAAGAGCGAATATCGCCGGACCGAATTCTCATCATCATCTTGTACAACTCTTAGCTTCGCTAACGCTCTCCTCGCCGCCACCTCCGTGTCCACCGGCAACGACGAGCTGCTCTTCCACGGAACAATCGTTGTTGGCACCCGGACCACCGGCCCCCTAGGCTGCCTCTCGTCCTTGGCCGACTTCTCCGCCAAGACCGGCGAAGCCGCCGCAGCAGACGACGACGGCGCTCGCTTGCGGCCGCGAAATGGGAGCAGGAGGAGCAGGAAGAAGGCGTTAATCAGCATCATCAGACTCCGCAGCACCCGCAGCGAGAGGAGGGCGTTTATGCGGCCGCTCGCTCCAGAAGTCAGCATCAACGACGACGACGACAAATCGCTGCCTCTCTCCGTCGCCATTTTCTGCTGCTTCTTCGGCGGTGGTCTTGTGGGTTGAAAGAACAATGCTGATGACGCCGGCGGCGGTGGAGATAATGACTTGAAATGGAATTGGAGCTCCCCCAATCCAATCAACTGCCGGATTGGTTGTTTCCTGTTGAGGTTGTTGTTTTGCTCCTTCTTCTCCCCATGAAAAAACAGAATTCTACTATCTATAATCCCTGCTTTTCCCAAACAGATCATAAAAAAATTGTGCGTTTTTTACTCAATTCTCGGTGGGAAAAAGTGCTTTCTTTGCCAATTTTAGACCTCGCAAGCTGCTTTTCTCTAATCTCACAAAAATCGCTAATTATCCAAAATTAAAAAAAAAAATCGGGAAAAATGGACAGCAAAAATATAGGTGGATTCAAAGCCAGCCACTTGCCACAGCGCAGGAGAAGGCGGGCGGCTTAAATTAGAATTTTAATTAATTTAATTTAATTTTTGAGCTTTCGAGTTTTCGAGTGTTTTCGGAATTGGAAACTGAAATTTCGAGAGACGGTCCATTTTCAAGTTTCCGTTTTTGGGATTTTTTTCTGAGGAGAGAAGCAACCACCAGCTCTCACTGGTTGGTGCTCTAATCCAATCCGTTTCCCGGATTTTTCTCGCTCCGACGCGTGTCCTTGCGCTGTAATATTATACTTTTTTAAAAATTATACCTGACACGTGTCGCGCGGTAAATGAAGTTGTGTTGGATGTGCGCCGATATGGAAGGAATGAGATTCTCTTCGGATCTCTTCTTTCAAAATCCGTGAATTAAATGATTTGAATTTATAAAATTTAATTCAACGGTCCTTGAAATTTGAACTTCTAGAAATTATAATAATTTTTTAATGTTGGATCAAATTTTAAAATCTAAATCACTTAATTCACGAACTTTTGAGGAAGAGGGATCTCTTTCCGATATGGAAGATGGGAAGTGTTAGAGTTTTGGTTTGAAGTGGTCGCAGGAACACGTGGAGTGGTGCCATCAAATTTGTTTACGTTCTCCCGTGCTACATGGCGACAGCTTAGGGGAAGGAAGGATCGTGATTGAGTTGAGTCTGTCGAGTGTTGACACGTGTAAAGCGTCAGCTCCCGGTTTGGAGATTGGAACTAGTAGAGCTGGTTTGGACCCTACTATTCACTGGGCCGAATATGATATTTTTAGGGGTGTATTATCCACTCACATTCTATTTTACTTCTTACACATCATTTGATAATTTATGTCCGTTGATCTTCTTCGATTTATCCGATCTGACGGTCGAAAATTAAAAGGTGTGTGAGAAGTAAAATGAGGTGTGTAGATATCACATCCCTATTTTTAAGGGAGGTTTAACAAAATACTCCCGGTACTGTTCACTTTTAATGAAAAATCACATTTATATATTTCTCTTGTACTATTCACTATAGCTTTAAAAAGGGTTTTTCATTAAAAGGAAAGTTTTTTTGGACTTTTCATTAATTTTTTTTATTTTTAAAGAAAATTGGGCCGATGGCAAATGCATTCATTCAAACTACAACCAACCCAAAACGATGATTTCTAAGAGGTCTTAGATCAACTCTAACCCTGTCTTAATACCGATAAATTTAGGCATTTACCTTGGAAAATGGGTTTCCGATGGGCAAAATATTGGCCCAGGAAATAGGCCTAGAGATTGGCCCCGCCAAAACAATGAGACCCACAAGTGCGTGTGGGATTCGGATGTAAAATGGCAAGAAAATGAGGAAATTCTTATGTGTGCGGTTCTTTTATTAGTCCTAACTAATTCAAATTATCTTGACCGTTAAATATGTCATATAACATTTGTGGGGTTACATCATAACATTCTTGTTAATAGGCTTGGCAATTTCTTGTATGTTCCGTTAATTCGATAAACGACACAAAAATAACAGGTTATAGATCAACCCGTTAATGAGTCAGGTCGTTATTAGGTCACCCGTTAACAAATCTAAAATACGTCTTGTTACAATGAGGTTAAAGTATAATCCTCAAAGTACTATCCAACGTTAAATACTTCTTGTTACAATGAGTATGTCTTGTTAAGTATATATAGACGCAAGATATAAGTGGACATCATGGAATAACACAAAATCATAATCCACTATTGTGCCCATAATCTTCACGTGAAGTCTATTACGTGACGTTTAGTTTCAACAAGATTCAATATCTTAATTACAAGAAACGTGAGGTTAAATTATAATCCTCAAAGTACTATCCAACATTAAATAAAGGTTACATAATAATATTATTACTACATTAATAACGTTGGCTGTTACAGCGTGAACGTTTTTGTAATAGTATAAATGTAAGATATGTGAATAGACATGATAGTATATAAACTAATCATATTTTAATTAGGATCAGAAAATGGGTCATGGTGCAATCCACAATGGTAACATCATTTTAGTCACGTACGGTACCAAGCGAAGTAGAATCAACAGCCCCTAAAAGCAGATTAATAGTCGACTATACCTGAAATCTAAGATTTGGTTAAGGGCCGGGCAAACACAACTTTTCTGCATGAAGGAATGATGCTAGATAAGTAGATATAAATGCATGCCGGCTTGCTTGTTAAATTTGTCAATCAATATTCCCCCACCTCTTAAAATAATATAAAACTAACAGAAAAAGTGCTTTTAATTAGCTTTTCTGAGAGGCAAATCAGGCTCCAATTCTAACAAATCAACGTACTAAATAAAGACAGAATATTTCAAAGTCAAGGTTTCACAACCTAATCACTTAAAAGTGATCCCATTTAAAAGGGACGATGGGAAAAGGTTCCTTGGAAAATGTAACTTGTTCCGAAAGAGAGAGAGCAAAGGAGGGAATATTAATCCAGCAGATAATGCACCACTAAAACTGATTCCATCTCTTTTCTTTCTGCTTTTAACTTTTGATTCAATTCATGACTTCTACGCAATGGCAAAACATCATACATCAACATCACTAATTATATAGCAACTTTAACCGAATTTTTTATTGAATAATATGTTTTATTAAACATCGCATGAGAGATAGTAAAAGCTACCCAAAACCATGTTTAAAAGAACATGTTATACATACACCAGCATACATAACGAATTATAAAAAACAGAGCCTTCCAAGAAAAAGACGTCAGGCTTGAAGACGTGAATGGCAACTCCTACATATATACATATTTCGTATTTGTGTCGAGATGTGTTTTTTTTGCTTCGTTCTTTTTTTAAGAGCATAATTCAGCAGTACTAGCCAGGCAATTTTAAATTCATAAGTTAGAGTTATGTTCTTTTACGTGAAGCTGAACTCCATAAGCTCGGATTCTTGAGGTTTCATCATTTGATTCTATAAAACTCTGGGACTGAAAACATTAGCTTATTATTCCCTGCAAATTAAAGTTGATAAACTTGCCTAAAACTTTTGACAAGAAATGTGATAATTAAATAGTAAAGAGGGTTCATGGTAACATAAAAAAGGTGTTTTTGTTATATCACGCCCACTGTCGAAATCCCTATCAAACTTGTACTTCATATTTCCCCCCTAAATTTTAGTTCTAAAAAATTAGGGGAATTTCAGCAGTTTGCTCTAGATTTTTCTGTAGTTTGATGAACTATAGGGTGGAAGAGAGTCAGATAGAAAGGTAAAAGTATAAGCTAGGGGTGAAAGTTTCAAACCCAAAAATTTTCAAATTGTAATATTTTTGAAAAACTGGAATGGAAAGGGGAATGCATTGATAGATTCCAACAATTCTGAATTTTTTTGAAGTGTTTCGAACTTATCCGATCAAAAACTTTCTAATTTTTTATAGTTATTTATTAAAACTTATATACTTTGTAATCATCTTTTGTATTTTATCGTTAATTTCGGTCTTTTTGGATACATTTTGTTCATTTTTTTTTTGTAATCAAAATGAATTTGATACATGCATAAGTAAATATCAAATATTAAGAGAGAACAATAAATTTCATGTATTGGATTATATTATGAAATTTGCGAGGTTACTTTGCCTCAAAAAATTACAAAAAATTGTGATCCGCTTTGATTCCAAAATTTTGGATAAAAATTGGAAACCTTGTTTCCGATATGATCCTTTCGAAAATAACCCCTAAGTGTAATGGAGCTTGTGGACTTATGTGTGTAACTATAAGCTTGCAGTGTATAATTAATTTGATGATCAACTCGAATTAATTTCCAGTTTTTCGATACATATAATGTAAGTAGAGACACATACATGATTGCTAGATTGCTAGATCACTAAAATCAATAGACCATTCAATCAAAAGAAGGATTCTCTGTATCCATATAATTAAAAAGATACGTTTCATGCAAGACTTGGTAATTAATAAACCCTAGAGAATTGCAGGTCACTACCTCAAATTGGTTTCCAGTAGTAATTCTATGTTGAGAGAGCATTTCTGGTCTAAGCACATTTTAGAAACCTTTAACTGGCTTGCAGCCAGCCTCCTCTACTGCAACCATGCTTGCATATATTATCCTAAAATATAAGTACCAGCAATTTTCTACATCTTCTGTTGGTTCCAAAATCCTATTCAGCTTCTAAGATACGTACTCAAACTCGATGCAGATCACAAATGAAGATCATACCTGCAACATTGAAAAAAAGAAGAAGAATAAACTAAGTAGCTAGTCAGTAAGGAACATGCAGAAGGAGGATTTATGCCATGATTAATGGCATGAAGGTCCGAGAAGCGGAAAAGCAAATACAAAAAGTTGAAATGTACTACTAGATATTTATTGCATTCTCTGATCTTATTCTTTCATCAGACATACATACATACATACATACATACATACATATATATAAATAATTTTTTTGAAAACTTGATATTACCCTTGAAACAATATTCTCCTCTACTAAAACCCAACACGTTTTGTTTTCTTGAATAAAACCCATTAACTAGCCTCCAACTAAACAAATTCTTTAATTAAGTTTGACTTTTCAAATTGTGTATTTTCAGAATGCCTAGACTACCCCTATTAATACTTGGATAGAGTTTTTGGATTAGTTACTTGTTATATCCATTTAATCAATTTTATATATTTTAAAAAATAATTCATGCCATTCATTGTATATTCAATGTATTAACTTTCAAATTGTTATAACGTGCCGATTGAAAAATAATAATACTAATTTCATAATTTTGTGCATTATATATATAAGTTAATTTACCTACCAACACAACAATAAACCTAAAACAACTTCTGCGAATACTCCAATCCCTAATACACAAAACAAAAGCTATATGTTCCGTGCAATTTTTACCTACAAAATAGTCTAATTTTCCTATTCCATCAAACCAAAATTTAAAGGGTCTAATCTACTTTCAAAATGGTCTAATTGACCTACATTATTTATGTGTATTACATTAAAAGTTTATTTAATTGCCTACAAGCAGAAAGCCACAACATTTGAACATTATCTGCCCATCCTGGGAAGTTTTGCTCGAGTGAGTTCCTAGAAACAAAACTGTAAGGGAGTGGTAGGAGCCCAAAGCGGACCATATCATGCTACAGTGGAGTCGAGCCCAGGATATGGTGGGGGCCTAGGCCGGGATGTGACATTATCTAATATCACTAATTTTTTTTTTTGGAATACGTAAATTAATTTAAATGTAGGTAAATCAACATAATATTAATAAGTAAGTAGATTAATTTAAATGTAGGTAAATTAGTATAATATTTGTATGTAGGTAATTACATGATTCAAAATGCAGGTAAATTAGTAGAATATTTTTTAAGCAGGTAAATTAATTTGTATGTAGGTAATTACATGATTCAAACAATATTATTTTTTCCGTACAAGATATGTCTTTTCTTTTTTCAATTTGGTAAATTAATTTATATATGATGCTAATATTTATGATACAAGAAAGGTAAAATATCCATATGGATTTAATTGCTCATCATAATTAGGATGAGTAATAACATTTATTGACCAAATTAGAATTTTGTGGCATAAGTTGTCAATATATTGTAATAGTTGGTCATATATTTGTCTACATGGCAGTCTATTTGAAATTTGGGTTTTATTTGATTATTCAAATTTAGGTGGATTTTTATTTGAAAAATAAGAGTTTCAAGGGTCTATATCTAAAGAACTCATAATTTTTCATGCCCTCAAGTTCGAGATTTTATTTTTGGTTACCATTTGCAATGCAAGTTAGATTGGTGATACAAGAACGAGGCCACCGCATAGATTATTAGAAAGAAAACATAAAAAGGAAACAAATGGAAAGCAAAAGCTGGAAAAAGAAGTACTTTTTAGTTTCAGAAAAGGAAGGACGTGGATTCTGATTTCCCAAGCAAAAGCTACCCATAACCATGCATAGGAAAAGAAAGGCAAAGCAATCACTCGAAAGTACCACCATTAACCAATAATAACACAAATTAATATACTAATGAAGGTTCATAAGTTAGTCAGTCCACAAAGAGAAAGTTAAATATTAATTACCTGGAGGAGTTGCCCCATAGATTGTTAGAAGGGTGGTGTTCCATATGATCATGCTCTAAGTTTAAAGTTGCATTTGAGGCTCCTCTTTGGTTAAGTAAACCATTTGAATTTGAATTATGATGATGGTTTGTTGTAGACAAAAGATCTTCATCCCCAGATCCATCTGTTGCATATCAGCCAACCAAATGTTCATATCGATGTTCATGACACTAAACAAAAATGGTCGTGACGACATAACTTGTTAATGTTGTCTCTTTCTACATCGTATAGATAATAAAATCAAGTGTAATCTTTCTTTTGGTCATATACATTATAAGTTATAACATGCCAACAGTCTTAAAAAGAATAAATTAAAAAAAGGTACATTTTTGTTTCGTTCATGCTTAATCTGAATTCTATACATGTGCATACATATATATATTGTTGTCAAACGTACTAGCTAGTTGTTTGTTGGGATGCAAATGAAAAATGTGTGGATGTACGACTTTATGTATTATGTGCATGAATACAATAGTACATATATGTTGGGTTGGAGGTAGCCAGTGCAGAGGAATGGTTGTAAGAATTTCACAATTCAAAAGGGTACGTCGTAGTAGCAGATATATTCATGGGAATAATTAACAATATTAATTAGGGAAGTCCAAGTGAAGCAAAATAAGAATTACCAGAGGAAGCTAGAGGTTTGTCAGTGTTCTTAACGGTTCTATACATCTGCAAATCCAAAAAGAACAAGATATTTAAAAAGAGAATGAGAGAAATAATTGATTAATATATAAAATCTCACTCAGTCGAAAAAGCAAAATAAAATAAAATAAACAAAACAAAATCAAAGCAGATGCTGCATAATTCACTTTGTGGGATTTTTTTTTGTTTGTTTAATAACCACGAGGTTGATGTTTGGTAAGGTCAGTAAATGCTTTGCATTATTGAGAAATGATGGCTTGGCTACTTTCTTTCTCTCTCATCTTCTCTCTCTCTCCCTCTCTCTAAAAGTAGAACTTGTCCGGTGTGTATCAGTCACAAGAACAGAAACAGACTCAACTGTTCATGAAAATGGAGTATGATTTTTTTTTTCTTCTATTTCAATTCCCTTCACTCGCCTCCTATCATATTTTGTTTTTTATCTTATTATTTTTATAAAAAATCAATATATAAGATGTTGACGTGATTTAATCGTACCCATTCAAGTAGGAGAGGAAGGAAAGGAAGGAGAAAGAGATTAGAGAGAATCTTCTTCCACTGTTCATTCATCCATTTATTGATGGATCACTAATTCATCACAGTACCGGTGATAGTGCTGCTGCGTGTCCCTTGGCTATTGTGCCACTTGGATAGCCAAAGTGTCCAGTGTCCAGTCTCTCCCCCTCCCCCAAACACATAAACAAACACACTACGCAGTGAAAGTCGACAGAAAAAATTAAAAGGAAGAAATTTAGAGAAAAGTATAGGGCTTGAATCTGAAATCTTAATGTGGTCAATGCATCAAACATTTCAGAATGCTAACTTTTTTCCTTTAGAAAATAACATAACAAAAAAGTCACTGATTTAGCGTAGGGTGGGGTGGGTAGAGATGATTAAGACTAGCGTAGGTCCCGGCTTCTAAACTCTCCAATGTAATCGAAGAAGTGATGAGATGAAGCTAGATGTACCTGCAAATGGCTCTTAACATGAGCAAGTGTGAGATCCTTCACATCCATGAGCTCCAACACGGACTTTGGAGTAGCCCCTATATATACACACAATTACAAAATAATTTATAATTAACTACATATATATTCAAGAGTTCCCAGGGAAAATTATGTACATATAATTCAATTCAAACTAATTAAAAAGAAAGAAATACAGAAATTAATAATATTACGCAACTATGTAGGGTTAGCAGTGCCGAGATTTTCCGGCCGCTGCCCACCCTAGCCCTAACGTGCGTCCGCCCGTGAGAGTAAGAGAGAGAGTAGGAGGGGCTTACTTTCATGACCACCAAGGAGCTCGACAGCATGAACAAAACGGGCGTGAAGAGAAGTAGTCCATCGCATCCTGGGAGCTCTCATGTTCCTCTTGTTGATATTCTGCCCTATGAGCTTTGGAGGCGTAAATCTAGATCTCATGATGAAACCATTGGACGACAAGTCGGCGTTGTAATTCCCACCTCCCCCTACACAATGATGCTGCTGAGGGTAATGAGGATTCAAATTATAGGACGGAAAATAGTGTTGCCGTTGATGCTGCGGCTGTTGTGGTTGCACTCCTCCTACTCCTAGGCTTAAACTGTCCATCATTATCCCGTTAAACCCTCCCAATCCCATTCCAATTCCCATGCCCATGCCACTACAATTCCCAGCAGGTGCTGCCGGTCTGAAGGAATTAGACAGATACGGCGCCGTTTGGTACACCGGCTTAGGCGAAAACGTAGGAGGAAACGAGCAATTAGTACTACTAGTACTGTAGACAGGAATCCCCTTGATGGGGTTGAGTCTCTCAAGCAACGGAATCTTATTGCTACTACTTACACTATTACTATTGTTCTTCCCTTCGTCATGGTAAACGTCTCCGCCGCCGAAATAGTTCTTCTTCCATGCGCTTTCGGCCTCTGAGGCCGAGGGATTGGCGAGGGAGAGCTCAGTGTCGGCATCAGCGGCTACTGGGGAAGAACTGGTGTAGCTGGCCCTAATACAGCTGTCGCTGTGGGATTTGTTGGTTAGGGCGCCGCCGTTGGTATCGTCCTCGTCGGTGTCTCTTCGCCATATGTTGAAGCAGCTGGCAGAGTCGTGATCGGGCGTTGCTCGGTCGGTGCAAATGGAGGATGGAGCACTATTTGTGTTTGTGTCTGGAGGGCTTATGTGGAGTGAAAGATCAGGAATCGGATTCAAAGATAGGCTGCTTCTGCCGCCTGCAGCTGCTTCTGATGAAAACCCTTTTTCGTGAAGCATATTTTAAACCCTTTTATATATTTCCCAGCTTCTAGCAGTATCTAAATCTACGGCTACAAACCCAGCAGTTTTGGGTTCTGAAAACAAAGTTGAAAAAACACACTTCTTCTCCTGACAGATTCCAGAAACTAAACCACACACTCATAGCCAATCCAGATGTGATTGTGAGAAGTGGGTCTAATTTCATCCATCTTCTTGCTCCAAAACTAAAAACACACTCATATATAGATATATAATTTAGTAGAGAAGTAGTGCTGATGGTTTTGCAGCCTAGGAGGAGTATGGAGGACAAATTAAGAAAGTAAAGCCTTTCAAAAGAAAATTGGAAAAGGGAGATAGAAAGAAAGAAAGTGAAAGTGTGCTGTAAAGAAAGAAAGGCTGAATGAAAAAAAGGAAGACTTTTCTCTTGCTCAAAAAACAGTTTCTCGTGCTCAAGAAACAGACATCCTCATCAGGAGAGAGAGAGAGAGATGGGTTTGGTATTTTGCCAAATATATAATAATTAGTAGTAGAAAATAAAATAAAATAAAATAAAATGGTGAAGGGATATTGGGAAGGAGAAAGAAGATGTGGGTCTGAGTTTCTAATGCCTCGAGAGTATATATAGGAAAATGACACTCCAACAAAGCCTGTCCCTCTCACTCTGCTTTAGTCAAATATATAAACTCAGCACGCAAAAATGCAGCGAAGTTTTTAGCAAATTTTCTTAATTATTGGTTTCTAAAATTCTTTGGTATTTTTATCTTCCCCGGAGACGACGGGTCAAAAGTTAAGAGGGGACAGTGTTAGAGAGAGAGAGAGAGAGAGAGATAATCTATAATTCTTTTTCCCCCATCCTCTTCGCTACAAACTCTCCCTTCCTATAGTCCTTTCTCTCTCTCTCTCTCTCTGCTACACATGCAATGCCATATGAATTATTAGTCGACTAATCGACCTCGCCAGCTACATCCATTCATCGTTGTATATATTGCTGACAGTCATACATTGACCGACAGTGTACGTGTACTATACATCTATATGCTTTGTTTTTCTTAATTTCCTTTTACCTTTGTCTGGTGCAATAGTAAATGTCTCCGTGTCTTAATATATATCATACCCTAAACCCTATTGTGATCAGTTTTGTGTTCCTCGGACCTCATTATTGATTAGACTAGTTTGTTAGGAGCAATATACTCGTCGAATGAGTTGAGGTTTTACTATTAAACCAATTGGTAATGACCATCTTCTTATATACACATGAAAAGTTTGGTAATCTTTCAATGTAAGACATCTTTTCATCCTCACACCCGCACCCTTAGATCCAAGTTCAAATCCTTTTCGTTTTAGATTTAAGTAGTTAAATTCGAATATCATTTTGTGAAAAAAAAAAATCTCTTGTATATGTAAAACAAAAGGATTACATATTTAGTTGTGCTAACAAATAAGCACGTTAATTATCACTTAATAATAATTTAATCATCAATTTCATTTCGTTTAGCTTACATACCTTTTTTCCATATCTAGAACCTTTAAGTGAAGATACTCAATACGATGTTTACACGCATGCTTATCTTAATCAGAGTACCCAAATCATTAATCGGTGAGTTCGTTACTGCAACATATGTAGAAAACTAAATGATGATTAGCCCCCAAATTGAGATAATTACACAAAATCGATCGTTTTAGGGTTATATCAAAAAACAGAAGCTCTTTTAATTGTTTCTTCTTTTGTGGAAGAAAAATTGCATCCAACCAAAAGAAAGCTGCAAAACAGCATAAAACAAGCCCAAAGAGAGCTGCAGAAAGTAACGCAACATGCACAAATTCTGTGGTACATGGTATATATCCTATCATCATGTGTACATCCATCCATGACCTGACCCTTTCTCAATAATTCCCCTTCATTTCATTTATCACTTTAAAACGTGTTGTGATTTTTGTTATGCCATCTCTGTGGCAACGTGGCAGTGATATCACAAGAATTGAAGTTCCAATAATGCTAAGCAGGGTCATTGTTGTACTTGTCACGTAATTTGTTTCTTTACATGTTATAAGACGAGTAGATGATAAAATGGATATGTTTCAAATTAAAATATATTAAAAAAAAAATCAAATGCATATTTATAATTAGAGCAAAATTATAACATCACGTAACGCTAGTCTGAATTGACAAAAAATCTTGATCAGATAGGGTATGTATCTTGGCAAATGAATGAATGATGGAACTGGGTAGGTGTTGTAATAGTCAAGAAATATTGATTAATTAGGTGGACCCTTTGACCTTAAAGTTTTTATTTCGCGGACCCTCTAAAGTGTTGTTTGTTTGCTTTCATATGGTTGTCATCGTAAACCCTAATTCCACATACCTTTGTTAGTTTTCTTATATTCCTTTTCATCCTCCAAAATATTCCCTTCTAATCCTCCAACAATTTTGTCCAGCATTTTGCGTGTATTATGTCATCCCACATGACCTTCGAGCCTTCACCACGCCCTCCCCTCATTGACTCGTACACATCTTAATCAATTCCAGAAACCTAGGCCAAATCAACTTACTAAACATATATAAAAACTAATCATGATCAATTTCTCCCTACTAATTCATTTTTCTAATGCTCATCTCTTTAATGCATTCACCAGATTTAGATTTAAACATGTCCTCGACTGCTACACTAACGAGTTACAAGGCCCTATATATGCCCCCATGTCTTAATTAATTTAACTAATTAGTTAACAAGTAATTAAACTAGCTCAGCTGAGGCAAGTGTATTACATTGAAAAGGTGAAATATTTAATGCATTTAATGCTTCAAATTAGTTTAGTTAAATTTCACTTATTTCCATACGCATAAATAAATGTCAAAATTTGAACCATGCATCCTTTGTTTCCGATGCAATTAAACTTGGAGTCTTGGACAAATATATATGCAACACCTTGTCGTGGAATAATAATAGAACAGTGTTTTCACACACTCTTTTTAATCTTCTAAGCACTCTTATTAATTGTTTGATTTTGATATTCTTCAATTTATTCGATTTGACGGTCAAAAATTGAAAGAAGTTTGTGAGAAGTAAAAATAAATGTATGGATAACACTATCCTAACATTATTTGTTGCTCAAACACTCATTCATCGGCATTCTTAAACCAAATACTTATACTCTACTTTTGCTTGTAGGTATGTTTTTCTTTTGGGTAATGCTAGAGAGACTAAATATATAGACTAAATTTTATAAACTAAATGACTGAAAGTTGATGGTTGGATTATTACTTAAATGTTGATTAATGTGATTATTTCTTATTTGTAACATATCATTTAGGTTGTAAATTTAGTCTACAAATTTAGTTTACCTAGCATTGCTCTTTTCTTTTTCTAATTCGAAATAAGTATTCTCATCAATCGTTGCTAATCATAACATTAGGCAACAGTATTTGGCATTATTCCATTGACAAGTAGTAATGCTGAAGCCTTCCATTCGAGATAATTCATTGTCTCACCGATATATCTCTAATTACAAATTCTCTCCGTCGGTTATTAAGAACCAACAAAATTTCCTACTCATTAAATATGAAATTTTAATAGCTCGAGAGCAACTAATGGGTTAAATCCCCTTAGTATGGAAATTGAAATAACCCCCAAGTATGAAATTTGATATATTCCTTTGAAAAAAAAAAAAAAAGTTTTGAAACCTTCCATTAAAAAAAATTTGTTGTCTCATCATTAGGATTTATCTTTAGTTGTAAGGTAGATATTTCCTTCATCGTAGGCCAGATTATCTCTCTGTCCGTTTAGAATCCACAAAAATTCTAACTCAAAAAATAAATTTTTTATACCTCTCGACAGCAAGAGGCAACTTAACTAACTGGTTATAAACTCGTATTTCTTTGGTATGGAATTGGAAATGAACTTTGAGTATGAAATATATATATATATATATATATATATATATATTTGGCAGTTGCTACCACTATAATTATTAAACTTCATATTGTTCAGGGATACATACTCATTACTGTCTGCCCATGTAGTGAGAGGGTAGAGTCAAATCATTCATGCCTGCATAAATAGTACATTGGTGTATGAACAGAAGAAGTGAGGTTCTGTCGGTTCTGATTACCAAGTATTTTGCCACGCATTTAAGTAGTTAGTATTAGGACTCGTTTAAAACTGTTTTTAAAATCATTGAAGTGTTTTTTAGAAAATTGTTTTTGGATTTCAAAATGATTTAAAGTGCTTCTTGTAAGAAGCATCATGATTCATTTGCATTTTTACTAATATTAGTTTCAAAAACGTTTTCACAAAAAAATCACTTTTAACCATTTTAAAAACATTTCCAAATGATTCCTTAGTCTTTCGATTTTTGCATCCTATCAGGTAAACAGTAGATATCTTTAAAAACAAGGAAAGGAATTGTCTCCGAATCCCTTCCTCCTAATCCACAAAATCAGAGGATCCGTGCAATTGAAATTTGATCCAACGACTACAAACAGGGACCCACTTTAAAAGTTATAATAACTTAAGTTGTTTGATTAAATTTCAACGGCACGGATAGGGTGGTTCGGTATGGGATCCCATACCGAAACCATTGTCCCGATTCCCAAACCGAAATTTTTGGGAATCCCAAATTCAATCCCAATCCCAAACCAAATTTTCGGGAATCCCAATTTTCGGGAATCCCGAAATAATTTCGGGATTTCGGGACAAATCGGGAATCCCGAAATGTTTTTGGGCTTTTGGACTAAAATTTGACATATTATGTTTTTGGGCTAAAATTTGACATATTATAAAGTAATAAATAAAGTAACAAACTCAAAAGCAAAAATAGTAGTTACAAGCCAAGGTTTATAAATAAAGTAACAAACCCAAAATCAAAAAAATTAGTTATGAGCCAAAGTTTCAATAATTAAGTTACAAACCAAAAGCTAAAAAGCAAAGCTTAAAGTCTATAAATATTGTTGGCCTCTTCGGCCCCTTCGTCTCCTTGATCTTGTTGATGCTTGTGGTTGCTCCCTTCTTGTTGGTAATTGTATATATATATATATATATATATATATAGATTAAATCTAAAACAATGAACGGTTGAAATAATTCTATTATAATAAAAAAAATTATATATATATATATAATATTTATTTCAATTCGGTATGGGAATACCGAAAAAATGGAGATGGAATACCGAATCCCATACCGAAAATTTCGGTTTGGTTCGGGATTACATACCGAAAATTTCGGGAATTTTGGTTTGGGATTTTTTTGGTTTGGGATCGGGATTTTTTCGGTTTGGTTTGGGATTTTTGGGATTTTTTTCCAGCCCTTTCCTTTATTTGGTAGGTTAAGAGGAAGAGATCCGGAGAGGATCCCTCTCCTAAAAACAAATATATATGTCATAACAATGTCGGCAAGCAGTGGATCTAATAGTAGATTAACATGATGAGTTTGTACTCTTCCCTTCATTGGATGGAATGCATAATTAATACTGAAATTTTTCATAGCACTTTTCTTTAGTAGAAGTGTGAGTGGGTTAAATAGTTAATTGTTAGGAGAAAGGGAATCGATGATAATCCAACTCGCACCAGAATGCATAATCATAA